GATAATCTTATTTTAAATCCTGACAGGATCCTACGATTCCGTGGCTACACGCTTCTTTCAGGAATCATCGATTTCCTGGCTTAATCCTGGTTCAAAAACAGTGATAAACTTGCCAGGATCCTTGATAAACTTGTTTTAAATCCTGACAGGATCCTGCAATTCCGTGGCTACACGTTTCTTTCAGGATTTAGTCGTTTCCTCAGGAAAAACATCGAATCCTTGCAGGATCTTGATCCTATCTTCCAAGGATTCGGGGCTGAAACATCAAAGAGTTTCCCTAGGGAATTACCCAGTTAATAGTTAAAGAAAAAGCAAGAATATAATATTCATTTAATATAATTTAATCTGATATTGGAGTTTAGATCCTCATCTAATATTTTGATTTGTAGTTTTTTCTCAATTCTAAAACTATTCAAGTTATATCATGATGGAAGATGAAGTGCAAAATTTGCTGAAACTCAAAAGTGAAGATTTTTATACAAATGTTGAAGAACAATATGGAAAAAATGTTGTAAAAGTTCTAAAATATCATGACATCGATAGTTATTTTATTTTGGGTGAAACTGATGAAGATTCATTATTTAGTGTGTTTGAAAAACCGAATGATGAAAATTCTTCAGATGAGATGATTAACCTAAAGAAAGATGTTTGTACTTTTGTTGGTGAAAAAGTGTCATTAAAAATCGGAACAAAAGGAAAACTTATGATATTGTTGAATGAGGCTCATGCCATTATTCAGAAAAGAAAACAACAACAATTAGCTGAAAAAAGGTTAAATCGTTATAATAGATCTCGTTCACAATCTTCATCAACATATAGTAGTGGAACTACTGAAATCAACGTGAAAGAATGTTATACATCCATTGAAAGATCAATTATTAAATTATTAACCAATATTAATAATAAAATTCATGGTATGATCATGACGAATGTATCATCGAATGATTTTAAAATTGATGTTAAATTTGTCAATGATGATGTTGAACCAACTTGCTTGATTCAATGTATATGTGGTGATCGAGTCAGATTGTATTATAGACAGAATGGATTTCAAATATCGAATCTTTCAAAACATTTAAAATCTATTTACAATAAATCAGAATTTGTTCAGATCAACGAAGAGAAAATTAAAAATGGCTCAGAATCATCAAATGATATGGTTATAGATGAAGAATGTTCAGTTATTGATAAACTACATAATAAATATTCATCCATTAACAGTGATACAGATATGGCTTCTACATCAATAAAAAATACAAAAACGTGAGTTACGAATTTTCTTGTAGTTTAGTAAATATTTCATTTCCTCGTCATCATTAGTCTTCATCAACAGCAAAAATTTCAACTTGATTCCAACAGTGAGAATAATAATGATTCATCAGCTGAAGGAACTAACATGTGAGTAATTATGTCTTATAGTAAAGCATTCTTTTCCTTTCGATCGAAAAAAATAGCAATGATGAACGCCAATTGTTTCATATATCGACTACAACAAGTGAAGATGAAAGTTTCATGTCAATACACAATCAATTGCAACCAAAACATGTAAGCATATATTAGTTGTCAAATATAAAACTCACTGAGTATTATTATGGTATTGAGTTTTACTAATAATATAAAACAATTTTTTATCGATGTTTTTTCAATTAAAGAGTGCAAAATTCACTATACTATAATTATTTTGCTGCAAAAACATATGGTTACTGTTTCTAATATACTATAGCGAACATTTTCACAATGTGTTAATCGTTTTTGATCTCAGTAGTTTCATGAAATCTTTCATCACCACAATAAAGTGACATCTGGAAATGTGTACTCTTTCATATGCATACGAAAAGTTGAGACCGCTGTCATTCTTGATTTTGCCTTTTTTGTGAAATAGGAAATAGTTCTGACTCTTCTTTCTAACAAAAAAGGGTTGCTTTTATTTTAAAGACAATGGACCCTGTGGTTTTTTCTCTCTGAGACAAAGCGAAGTTTGTCACTAGCTAAGTCCAATCAGAGTAAATATTGACTGAGGATTAATGCTGTGATTTTTCTACCTTTATTAATAACTTATAACAATGCAAATAACAAGAAAATCGTTTGGTATTTTGGCATATACTTTAATTATAGCGTGAGATAGATTCGATAATCAAAATATTTTAAGACAACATTATTGATATTATAGGCGGAAATGCTTTTCCTCTACTATTAATTTCTATCGATCACTCTACAATGATTGTTCATTTTCAGGACAAGACCGTAGATGAACAATCACGAACATCTGATCTACCAATACATATTCGATCAATTAAAGATTTTCGAAAACAGGTAGATAAAATAAAAACAAATTTATCAATTTATTTATTATCTTTATTGTAGAAGGATTATGAGAGTAGTCTTTCAGATCGAAAAAAATCGAAATTAGATATCAATAAAAAAAAATTGAAAAACAATTCATCAGCAAAAATCAACAAAAAAATTCATAAAGTTCAGGTGAGTTTCTCGTTGACGTGAGATAGCGTATTTATTTATATTTCAAATTAATCAGGTTTACAATAAAGCTAGCGATGCAGACTTTTTGTTTGCCGTACTAGAAACAATTGATTTTAATAGTCATCGTCCTTCGAATAATTATAGATATCCGCAATGTGTATTTCGATTCGCTACAATAATTGCTATAATAGCAGGCAGATATGCTTATGAATTTCTTCGAATGAATTTACGATTTCTATTGCCGACAATACAAACTATTGAAAATAATTGGTCTTATCAGCCTTACAAAGAGGCTAATTTTCGATTTGAGGAAACTCAAACCTATCTTAGTTCAAATAATTGTCAATATGTTTTTGTATCCGAAGATTGCTCTGCGATTATTCCTAGAATAGAATATGATGCAAGTTTAGATATTTTTAATGGATTTGTTACACCTGTTGTAGAAGGTTTACCAACTGAAAATGCATTTCGTTGCACAACAATTCAACAATTAAAAAATTTATTTGAAACTAATGCATATGCTAATCTAGTTAACATTCACGTAGCTCAGCCTATTGCTGATTCAAATAATGCTTTAGTTTTACCAACAACAGTTTTGGCAGCTTACGGAACCGATCATAAATTAACAGCTATTGATATATTAAAAAGATGGCTAATAATATATAAAAAATTTTATTCCAGAGGAATTCGTGTATTAGGATTCTCCACAGATGGGGATCCCAAGTTCTTAAGAGCAATGCGTTTAGCTGCTAACTTTTTTGTAAGAACGCAAATATTAAATATTTACAATAATACATTAGCATTTAAAGTAAAAATTCCTTCGAATTGGATGTCATGGTTTTTTCTTGGTTCTACTCAACTTTTTTTATTCGTACAGGATGGTGTACATCTGTGTACTAAACTCCGAAATAGAATGTTATCGAAAAGTGCTGAATTAACTATGGGTAGTTATGAAATATCTATGGAGCATTTGCATGACTTAATAAGATCAACAAATAAATTAGACCACAACTTATCAATATCCGATTTAAATGTTAAAGATAAGCAAAATTTTGCTTCTTGTCAAAAAATCTCAGATGATAAAGTATTAAATTTATTGCTGTTAAATGATAAATATAGAGGTACTTATAATTACTTGTTAATCTTAAACTTATTGATAACTGCTTATACAGAAAAAGCGATCGCGCTGAGTGATCGTATCTATTGTGCATCTATTGTTTTATTTTATGTTCGATTATGGAGGATATGGTTACATATTGAAAGATCACCTCGTAAAAATACATTATCAGAAAAAAGTAAAAATAAAAAAAAAGATCAATCACCACACTTTATTACTTCAAATGCATTACTATGTATAGAGCTGAATGCACATTATTTGATCTACGTCTACTTATTAATTGAACAGAATGTTCTTCCTCAATCTATTGCTGAAAGTACTTACTTATTCTCCTCACAACCTTGTGAGAACATATTTAGAAACGCTCGAGCGCTTTCGGGTGTTTATTCTACACGTATTAATTTTACTATCATGCAATTTTTGAAGCGATTAAATAAGCTAAATGCTCTTACAGAACTAAAACATTTTGAAGAAACAAATACAGAACAAAAAATAGTTTTTCCTGTTCATCACAAAATCAAAAGATTTATGGATAAAAAACAATCAAATAATAATAACACTAAACTTACCAGCTTTAATACTCATGATCTAGAAAAAATTATTCTTCATGCATATGAAATAGCACAAAACATGGCCAATTTTGTTGACTTGAGTAATAGTTTAATAAAAAATAACATGTTTAACATTGAACAATCATCAAAAATAGCCAAACAGTTGTTACATTTGAATTGCTTAACTGAATCCGAAATAGTTGATGTTGATGGATCGACGGATGATGAAGAATCAAGTGATGATGAAGATTTAGATACTTATAATAAAGAATTAGCTGATATTATGTGTGATGGTGATTTTTCTGAGGACGAATTAAACACTTCAAATAGTTTTGAAAATTTGCAAGGAACAACTTATTCAGGTGTGTCAGAATAATTCTATTATAAAAAGTATTTTAGAGAAATGTATAGGTGGTACAGTAATTATGTTAATATCCGTACATATCTTATTCATTAAATAATCATTCGATATAGATCAATAAATATAAGTCCCTGAATATCTTCGAAAAATCAGTCGAAGAATGTTTTTTAGGCTTCGTCTACTATTAATGTAACTCATGTAAAAATAAATACATCTCGATACTCGAGATTTATTCGAAAGTTAGTAGTAGTTTAAAAATGTAAAATTTAATTCATCAATGATTCTATTTTAACAAGCGATGGAAAGCCTAACTTTTAAAAGAATGACCAGTCTTATGTGAAATACTAGCTATGTTTTCCAAAAATTTGTGTTTGTATGACTACAGCAAAAAGAAAAAAAATTAAAATTACTCCGTCTATTTTTTACGACGGTAATCTTTACATGTGTCATTAACGTTAAAACAAAGTATTAATACGTCTGAACACATCTAGAAAATGTCGATTTCTAAACTAAATGAATAATAAATACTTTTTTTTCACATTCTGATCTTAAGTTTTTCACTCAATTTTAGGGATGAGGTTGAAAAAATCAGTTTCATCCTCAAATGTACATAAATACTTTCCTGTTAATATTCATGGTGAAACATTTTATCTTCATAAGCAAACAGCAACTTGGTATTTACAAGAGAAACAGCAACGAGTACCATGTGATCGGCTTCAGCGTGTGCAAACTAAAGTAGTTGAATAGGTATCTTTTTGTTACTTATATGATTATTTTTGTAGATTATATTGTACTGTTTTATTGAGAATTTTCATTACCATTTTTTTTGTATTAGTTACTATTGAAAATTTTCATTGTCATTTTTTTTGTATTAGTTACTATTGAAAATTTTCATTATCGTTTTTCTTGTATTAGTTACTATTGAAAACTATGAATAATGTTTTTTTTTATTAACAAGTAAATGTTAATATTGCCTATAAAGATTATGGAATATCAACTGAAACATAAGAACAATTATAAAATTGTATTTTAATATTATTTGTTTCTCAATGAACTCTTACACGTATAGTACTACTTTATATTTATGACGCACTTAATGATTGATTTTATCAAGTCAAATAGATGCTTCTTACATAAAATTTGGATATAACAAAAGATTACTATTTAGTGATAACTATTAAGCATAATGATTGAAATATTCTTTTTACAAGCCGTGCTTTAGTCCGTATCAAACAATACATTTTTATCAGGCGCTGTTTTTGAAGTGAATTTCCATCAAAGATATTTTTTTACGTTTGGTAGAACTTAATGAATCTTCAGATAGCCATTTAAACCGAAAAATAACGGTAGTTTTAAAAATCATTGTCATCACAATGGGTTCAGTCAATATGAACTGCTGAAAGTTTTTCCATTGGTAGAAGTTATAGCATACGAGATTTATGTAAAAACCAAAGAACAAGGAGATAATTGTATATTTTTTTTATTACAACGCAGCAACTTTTTCATTGTCCAAGTTTTAATAGTTACAGACTAAAATATGTTTCACTTTAAGAACTCTACTATTTTTAATCAACCTATAAAAGTACAGTTCTTCGATGTATCACATAAGTAAAATGAGAAAAGCGCGAAGTGTTTTTCCAGCAAAGACGAAAAAGTAAGAGTACTCGGTCCCCAGCATATTTATTGCACTCTGAAGCTGCATCAAACGTTGGCGTGCAAGTTTGTCAGCCGCTTGAATGCTTCTATAAAACTAGTTTTTGGTAGGGTGATTGTAATCTTACTTATGGAAGTCTATCGGACATGAGAGTCAAAATATTTCACTGTACTCCATCTTTGCTGAAATTTCGGAGCATATGAAAGATATTTTGACTCTGACGTCGGATAAATTCATGCAAGTTGCACTCTAATTACCATATTGGAACGCTGATTAATAGAAACACGGAAATAGCTGAAAAGTGTGAAAGCAAACCTTCGAGATCATCCGAGAGTATAATGAACTCAAAGAAATACATCCCAGTATACGTCAAGATGAAATTTAATATTGTTAAGTTGTTCTGAAGATAGTAATATATCCCCAAAACAAGATTCGATTTTCTTAACTGCAGGTTTTTCGTATTACTTCTGCTGAATATAAGCTATTAATTGAATATTGTGAAACAGGAACTGCAGTATAGTTGGTTATAGAAAAGTAGAGATGAAGTACGAGTGGAGTACAGTTGGAGTACAGCTGGAGTACAGCTGGAGTACAGTTGGAGTACGGGTGGAGTACAGCTGGAGTACAGCTGGAGTACAGTTGGAGTACGGGTGGAGTACAGCTGGAGTACAGTTGGAGTACAGCTGGAGTACGCACTCTAGGAGTCTCGCTTTTTCCCCCTTGGAATGTACACATAAAGCTATTACTATTTTGATGCTAAATGGTATATTTCAGATTGAGATATTAAAATTTAGCACACTTC